GGTCGTAATGAATAATGAATGAAGACTTATATTGACTTCTATCGGTATCCGGATCGTCGAATGACAGATTTGGGAAATCGAAAAAGTCAAGGGGAGGGCATCATATCGAGGTTCCGGCACGGGGTTTCAGGAATCCGCCCCGGGCATCATCGAGGCACGCTACGCCACTGCAGAGACCTGATGCGGAGCTCGGATCCTCGTCCTCGAATGCTTCATCGGGGGTTCCACAGCGCGAAAATCGTCCGTGTACGTATTTCCGCATGCGGAATCGAACCGCGACTGAACACGGTGACGGAGGCGATCCCGCGCAGTTGAGAGCCGCCCCCCCCCCGATTCGCTGGTCCTTGCCTCTGGTCCAGGTTGAGTCTCGGCGCTACCGAGGATCGTGCTCCCGAGACGTTCGATTTTTTGAGCCTGCTTTCCACAAGTCTCCTAGGGATTCTGCGATGTGAATCGTTTGGAACAATAGCGGATAATGAATCTCGAGGGCGCGCGGTGTTCATATCAATATTTATCCTCCGCGGTCACGCACAACCATCTGTGCATATGTACACGTGCTATCGAAAGTCGTGGGACCGCTCGATCGAGCATAGTCGTTGTTTTGGTTCGTGGAGACGGCTTCTTTCCACCTTTTGCGGCACGTGTCCTATCTGAATTCGACATCCAGTATGGTACGTGCCTTTCCGCTTCTAGGTAGATAATCAGTGACGAGGGACAGGATTCTGCGGGGAGCTCCCGCGGACCACGGTGGAGACATTGCCGATCTCCGGTGACTCTTCCGTCACCGATGACAGTTCAAGTTCAGGTCCAAATCTAGGGACGACGGTAAATCCCTAAGCATGAGAATTTATCATCGAAAGTGAATGCCATGTTTCATGGAGATGAATGGATCATCCGGTAGCATAGCTTCCACTCGAGACCGATCCTTCTGCTCCAATTTGACTGACTCTTTTATTGGAGGAGGTCCGTGTTGGATCGACAAGTATCGATCGGGCTCTGATTCCCTGATTCTAATCTAGCATATGATAGGATAGGGGATAATCGCGAGCAACGCCAGTCACTGCCGCCGCCGCCGTCGAACAAAGCTGTTGAGCGTAATGGGTGATGTCTGCATGCGGAGCTTTCCTTGGAGGAATTCCGGCGATGCTGATTCCTCAGGAGCGAACTTTTAGCACCGTGTGCGAACTGTCCCGGATCCCCCATCAGAACAGTTAGGTCGTTCGGAGCTGACTGTACAACAGCTCTTCAGTCGGAACACAGTCCATAGATTCCATGATAGGAACCATTGATTACGAAGCCCCCGAGATACGATGGGATCAATGGACTCGAGAGGGATCCTGATTCCCGATTCCCCCTCGTGATCATTCTGTTTTTCCCTGAATGACGCGTGCGCATTGGCGGAAAATATTCGTTGCATGTCGCCTCCGTTCGTTCACATCTCGGTTCGACGATCGATGCTCGCGCGCTGCCGTAAAACTAGAGTCGAGTGATGATAATCGGCAGGTTCTATCGGGAGTTTTTCCACTGTCTTGCTCGACTCCGCAACTAATATCCTCGGTGAAGAGAAGGACAATTCTATCGCAGGTTCAGTCCGAAAGTCCATTTGCATGAGATGCGGTGTAATCTTACCTCTGCTGGAATGAATGTTTATGGAGTGTCTCTACAAAAAACATCTGCTGCCAGGAGCTGTGCTCTCAGTGCCATGCGTGCGAGATTTTCCGCAAACATCCCCATCCCATGCGGGAACGTAAGCAGAAATCATGAACGGTGCCCTGATGCAGAAATATTTGGTTATATCAGTCGGCCCGAGGAAAATGTCCTCCATCGAGATCCCGCGGTCGAGTTCGGTCGCCTGGCATTCCGCGGAGAAGGCATCAAGACGAGAACCTCAAAGTCCCTTACCAGATCACAGGCGTTCCTCGCTCGCAACGGGAGGCTCTGTCCCCGAACTCTCCAGCGTAGTTCCCGAATCATCCTGTTTTTCAATCGATTAGCGAGGCTGAATTTCCCCCCACGCTCCCTTTAGACCGTGGACTACTCTTGTGAAGACAGACATGGGGACTTGAGAGTCGAATAATGTCCGAACGACATTTGCCGAGGTCCATGCAGTGTGTGGAGCCAAAGAACCAAGGTCGGGAATTTATCTTCAAGTCTCGCTCGGAGGTCAGAACTCAAAATATCGAACTCGATTAGCGTGGCCGGGGATTTCATGAATACCCCCAAGTGTTGATGATATTCGCTGTTCCATTGATCCATGAGGAGAGAATCATCCTTGTCTCGTATCGGAACGCCGCACTAAAGCAGTGTTCTCCAATTTTCTTCCCCCGTCCCCCACTCCGGTGTCTACGCACGCCTCACCGTGGCCCACCTCTCATGGCCTTCTCGGGGGCGAAATTTTCTCACGCCTTCTTTTCAGGGACACTGCCCGATAGAGTAGACTGAGTCAGGCGAGTCATGCGATGCCATATGTGACTTTTGTGTCTCTATAATCAGAGCAGTAGCTGTGACGACTCGCGGGAGCAATGCGCGAAGCGATGCCCAACCCAGGACGGACCCCATGGAATCTGCGAAGTAGACTCGATCTATTTCAACAGTTGACGAATATCCTCATATCAGTCAGTCGACGTGTAAACGCGAAGGGAGGTAGAATAGCCGTAAAAACCATCGACGCGAACTTCGAAGGAGTCCGTGGTCCTTGGAGCATGACGAGAGTCCTCGCAACCAGTCTGTAATTAAAGCTCTTTCGTGATTGGCTCGGTCAGAGAATCGCGGGCTTTCCGAACTGCAAAGTCGCTGCTCAAATTCTCGATGCTCGATCTACGCTCGTGCTTTCGCTTTGAGAATGAATTCCTGACAGTTCATGACGTTAGTATGTCATAGCCGCCGGGGAGTATTTATGGCAGCTTAAATGTCATATACCGGTCAAAATTCTCAGAAACATTTCTTTCCAACAGAGACACTGGCCGAGAGATAGTGCCCGCTAACTTGGATAGTCTGCAGACGATAATATAGGTCACAGCCTGCCCCGGAAAGGCTCGGGCCCTTCAGATGCCTAGATCGGCGGGGGCGTGGGAGATTAGCTCCTCTGGAAGGAATGCGAGGAATTTCCATCGGTGAAAGGGCAATCGGCATATAACATAATCTAGACGAGAGTCGGAATCCGTCCTAAACGTTGAAGGCTGGAATCGCGCTGTAGATTTCGCTCCGGGGACGTTGACGAGCAGCACGTCAGAAGTAGTAGAACTTCGGGAGATGATCAGTCGGAGCTATAATCACCTCTAGGAATGCGACCACACAACGATAGAGACACAAGGAGAGAGAAGGTTCCCGCGCAGACACAGCAAAGGGCTGCGCGTAAGGACTCTATTGTAAAAACACTGGAGAATTCCATCCGAAGATCGTAAATACCGAGCGAATGGGATTTTCCAGGCCGGAAGCATCTGTTCTGTAGATCTCTCCTTCTCTGTCAACAGCAATCACCACCTCATAAAGGAAACTCTTCTCCTTCAATCGGGATAAATCAGCGAACGCCAACCTGTCTGACAGCACCGGCAATTATGTCAGCGGAGCTCCTCGAGAGCATCATTCCCGGGCCCGACATTGGAGAGGATCGAGACCGATCTGTATGGACTAGGATTCAGGATCAAGTCCAGCCGATTATATTATTGAATCTTGATATTCTTTGACGACCCCACTGTTCCGTGGGTCTCGGTCTTGCAATACTCGAAATTGGGATGAGAGCACTTCAACAATATCGCGCGAATGTCTCCGATGGTCAGTCTCGTGTGAGTCAGAGCTGCCTCTACCCTCGAGTCATTCTGGAGACGTCTGTAGACCATGAAGGTCGATTATGGGCAAGTTGAATGTCCCGCAATGATTGACATAAATTCGACTTGAGTCGTACCTTCTTTCGCATCCCATTCCTTTATCGGGAACTCGGAATTGAGTACTCCGTAGAATTTTATGTGTCAGCCTTTGAGGCGCGAATGATCGTGGTCACCGAATGAATGACTCACAAACCCTTCGGTCTCTTTGGTGTCGGAATCGCGCGGCTGAAAATCATTACCTTGGAAATCGCCAACATGATTCGAATTTCGAATTTACAATTGCGCAATACCTGGTCGAAAGAGCGACCTCTCGAATGCGAGAAACAGCACGAGATGGATAAGAATGCATGCCCTGTTCGAGGAGCTCATTTCAAGGGCGTTCATTCGTGGCTAGATCTCCGGTGAAGGTCCCGAACGAGTAGCGAAGTACGGAGACTCTCTAATTTATCCAAGAGGGGTATCCGGGATTATGCGTCCGATATCGTGGATCACTTCATCCGTCTTGAATAACCGGGAGATCCCATTCTATTGGCGCGATCCACTCGATTCCGTCGATTGTCTATTTCCCGATCTGATTCTCGGGGTGGATTTCCGCTCATTGACAAGACAAGATTGAAGAGATCAGAGATAGAGCAGCGGAAGGCCAAGCGTGAGGAGACCCGGCCACGATGGCATTTGACTTATTGACAACCCGTCAAGCTTCCTGTCGGATGAATATTTCGCTGGAGCCCGCCAACGGAGCCTCTCCGGAGGAAGATAAAATCGGATAGCAGCTGCTTTTACACAACTCAACTCACAGTGCAGTTCCGATGAAATCAGAATGGTCTCGTCCTACTCGGACCGACAAATCTCCGGAGCGGACAGACAGCAACTGCTTGCGAGTATTGTGTTCTCCCTACGAGAACCACCCTTGGCACTATGAAGATCCCTATCCGAATCCCGGAGGAGGCATGAAGCAGTTCCGCAGAAAGCGTGGATGGGTTGATCGGGTAGAGAGGACGGCGTGGTGACGGGTCCGATTCGATCCGAGGTACCGGGCTATCGGTGAGCAGCAAAAATAAAAGAGAGAGACTGCTCGGTCAGGGACCCAGCCTCCGAGTGAGATCCATGGTCCCTGCCGCTGTCGGTACTCGACAAGACTCCACCCGCCTACTCAAACAGGCAAGCACTTCGAGACTCTGGGAACGCTCTGGGGTCGTCGATTTCGAGGTTCAAGAAGTTGGAGCTGATTCTCGGGATCCCTCCGGGGTGTGCGAGGACCAAAGTCGTGGCTCTCAGCCGTGGAATGTCTTGATCTCGGCTGCGCTCTCAGGTACTACTTAGGCGCTGGCACTACCGGCGACTATCTGGTATGTGGCCGCAGCACGGTGCATGGTCATGGCGTCTCGATATATTCAGTGAATTGCAGCCTGAGAACTTGACGCCTGAGGCTCTGAGGCTCTGAGCTAGACATGTGATTTTCCCCAGTGCTCACTCGATCAGAACAATACGTCTGAACGCTTGACAGACACTGCGAGGCGTCTCTGAACAATTTTTGAGGAGTGAGCCCTCTCCTCATCCGTTGAGACTGACGTACCTGAGGCCTACCCACGACAAATGCACGACTCTACCGACGGATCTCCGAAGAAGCGAACTGAATTCTTGAGGCGACGAGACGTCGATACCACAGCTGGTTGTCCGTCGAGTCTCTCCCGTTGAATTTCCATTCGCGAAATTTAGGCGGCTCCTCCGCTGAGCGATGACTTGATGCTCGCCGTGACCGAAACAGAGAATCGGCTGGCTGAGTTGGCATCGCCTACTCTCACTCGGACAGTATCCCTTCGGAACAGCGAAATATCCAAAAATGATGGAAATTGAGGCATTTTTGTGAAAATATCGCTCGGACGAAACGATCTCTGAAAAAACAAAACCGATCAGCATCAAGGTCCGCCATCTGTTGTCGCGAATCGCATCCACTAGCTCCGCAGAGAGTGACGTCTCCAGAGTAATTTCGCCATCCTTTGGACTGTTTTCAAGAACAGACAGATAATTTACCGCGCTCGCGTCAGTTGAAAAACCCGAGATCTGGGAAAGTCTTAATGTCCACTCTATCTGAGACTCCCGCTCTCGCTGTCGGCAGACCAGGTGATCTTATCGATGATGGGTGAGGGCAAAGAGGGTATAAATGATATGCGAGCGTTGAGCGAGCAGAAGTTTCGAGGGGCGCTTACTATTCAGTCTGATCAAGGATTTGTTTCGACGTACCATTCTGTCTCTAGGCGTTCTCAGAGGTGAGTTCGATTTGAATTTAAGACTAGAGCGCTTGCTTTCCTCCGGGTTGGAAGATGCGCAGTCGCGCGGCGCTCCTCCACAGAGATCGATCGATCGATTCAGACAATCATCGGACTTGATCTCGCCAGGCGCCTTGTAATTCCTCGGTGATCGACGGGTGTGTACGGGACGCCGAGTCTCGATCGATCTCAGCATAGCAGGCGGCTGAGAATGCGAATTGTGAAGCGGTGGGCGCGTGAGTGTGACAAGGGTCCGGCGCGACTGCTTAGAAATGTCGTCGACGTCATAGGCAGCGAGGCTCAGGAAGCGTGGCAGCATCCTTGAGGTGTCGTCGAGGCGAGAAAAGCTCGGAGAAGAGGAAACGAGCCGCGAGAGTTCAATGTTTCGGCTGAACAATGTTTCTGAGTGCCTCGCTTCGGCCTAATGTTTATCTCTCTCGCAGGAGCGATCCTTTCCCGAAAGCGAGTCTCGAGGGTCGTCTGATCAAATTGCGGTTTTGCCGCTCACATTCGACGACTTCCGACTTGGCTTAGACGGTAAGCTCTCGACGTTACCCACAGACCCGAGGTGTCCTCTCGATCGCAGGCTCGGAGGCGCAACTTCATCGCGCTAATATGTGGTCTGCGAATGCTCTGGCGATTGTTTCCTCCGTCAGGGTGCCGGAAATGCATCCGATCACTGAGCGTATTTCTCTGCGGTGGAAACTTCGCATATACGAATTGCTCGGAGATAAAGCTGCTAATGAGATCTGAGTCCGAGGTTCTCCTTCAGAGCGAGGAGCACTCCAGTGAAACCCCTGAATCTTCAACCGAAATTCCCACAGTGTTTTCTTTTACCGCAGGCCGTGACGAATAACACAATGGTGGTCGAGGTCCCGGACCATGTCTCTAAATTACAAATGGATGGGCCCTCCGCATCAGTGCTCGACAGAGAACGACGGAAAAAGTGTAAGTATATGCTTTGATAACAGAATTTCGAGCCACTCCTGTCCAATCTCAAAATCTCGAATCGAAGGTCGTAGACCAAGCTGCGCTGGTCTGAATAATGCATGCCCACTCAAGTCAAGTTTTTTGATGGCCTTTTGTGCACCTTTGTTCATCTACGGAATACCTAAAACCATTTCGGTCTGTTGAGATCACTCAGCGAAGAGATTTTGGATTTGCTTTGATTCAAGAGAATGCAAATATTTATAGTCGAGAGGTATCCCATGGTCAGTTACGCTCGCATCGCTCTCAGAGCCAAAAAAGAGGACGAGATATCAGTCATGAAGTCCGAGACCAAGTCTCCGATTGTAAGAGCAATCCATGGAGTTGGGGGATGCCTTGAGATTTCGAATGGGAAAGCAATTTCCTATGACTGCCTATTGTATCCTCAATTCGAGCGTGATCTCACGCGCTGAGCATCGAAGGCCGAAAGGCATCGCTCAGAACAGCTCGGAACGATTCACATCCCGGAGGAGCTTCCCCCCTAACATGGGGCCATGGCCGGCATTCGAGGGCGCAACCCCAATCAAACATCGATCTATAGTTATTTATTGTTATCATATCCTTGTCTACATATTATCTCGAAGGGATTGACAACGAGTGATCGATTCTCACGATGCACGGGCAGGTACTCAATCGACGTTATACCTTTTCCAGCGTTCGTGCAGTACCGCTATATATTGATTGTTCTGGGATTTTTCGGCCTCGCGTCCGTTTATGGGATGCGCGTCAACCTCAATGTCGCCATGGTGGCGATGGTCAATCAATCGGCAGTCGTTAATGAGCATTTTTCGCAAAGCTGTCCTGCCCCTATCAGACGCGTAAGCGCGAACTCCACTGTTGCTCAAACAAGGAAGGTTAGTGCTCGGGACATAGATATCCGAATTTCGCGAATGAATCACATCGAGTTGATACGAGTTCTGGGAGTCGGAGACAGCGTGTTCAATCTGATCTCCGGCTAACGTTGTGCCCTTCCAGGAAGGCACATTCGACTGGGATCCTTACACGCAAGGCCTGATTTTAGGAGCTTTTTACTACGGTTACATCATAACGCCGATACCGGGAGGACGACTAGCCGAGAAATACGGAGCGAAATGGTTATTCGGTTGTGGAACCCTAATCACCGGATTGCTGAGTCTCCTGATTCCCGTCGCGTCAACTTACGGTGGGGCGGCCGGTCTCATCACAGTCCGAGTCCTCCAAGGAATCGGTGAAGGGGTGACATATCCCGCAATCGAAGCTCAGGTCGCGCACTGGATTCCCGTCAATCAGAGGGCGACAGCGATCTCGCTGATACACACCGGAGGATTCTTCGGTGTCGCCGTCGGCATGTACATATCGGGAGTTCTGGCAGATTCGAATATTTTCGGGGGTTGGCCGTCGATCTTCTACTTCTTCGGGATCTGGACCGCGGGATGGTTCGTCCTCTGGGCACTGTTCACCTCGAACCGACCCGAAGACCATCCGTGGGCATCGCAAGAGGAAATCGATTTCATTCTCAACGATCTCGGCGACCAGAAACCGACGCATGCCTCGGTCACGCCTTGGAAGAAGATATTCACCTCGCCCGCGGTGTTTGGAGTTGTTTGCGCTCATTTCGGGACCCATTGGCTGCAGTACATTCTCGTGACCGAGTTACCGACGTATTTAGGGACCGTTTTGAACTTTGACATCAAGGAGGTGAGTGTGGGACGAGATTTTCGCAGCTTAGATCTAGAGGAGCTCATTTGCATAGATGATAATCTCATCAGGTCCGTATTCCCTGCTTGTCGGGATATGTTCAGAATTGCCGCCTGCTCGCGGTGCCCGGGCTAGAATCCGATCGCTCTCGAGCAAGGTTTCTAGGCTCTCGTCTGTTTGAGATGGCATATCCTCTGTGGCGTGTCGGAAGTTGGCGATAGATAGAAGCCGTAGCAGTAAAGTTTGAGGGGTGAAAGTTCGAGTCCTAAAAGAAACGACGGGAGCATTTAGGATATGCTCGGTATGCGGGCGTGGCGTGCAGACTCGTTCTAGACAAACGAAGCAAACTGATTGCATTCCCTCGGGTCATGAACTCTCGAAATTCCTCAACGACTCTCGAAAATTCACCGCTAAATTGCTTCCACAGAACGGTCTCTATTCAGCCTTGCCGTACATGGGCGCGATCATCGCGGGTGCGCTATCCGGCGTCGTCGCAGACTACATCCGAGCTAAGAATTTCTTGTCGGGAACCAACACGCGGAAAGTCTTCAACGGATTGGGTGAGTTTTCGGCTCACTCGGGTGGAGGAAAATCTCGATCCATAGATGAGCAAGTCGGCAAACGTAGTTTTGAGATCCTCTAACGTCAATTCTTCGACTCTAGCCCACCTGGTTCCTTCGTTGATGTTGATAGGCGTTGTTTGGCTGGCGGGATGCGACGGCAAACTATCCCTCACTCTTTTCGTGATCGCGGGAACCGTTCGGGGTCTATCGGAAGCGGGTTACATGTCGATTCCCGTAGACATGGCTCCCGACTACGCTGGCACAATCCTCGGTATCTGTGTCTGCGTAGGAAATACGACAGGCTTCCTGGTACCCTGGATCACGGGCGCCTTGATCCAAAAAGAAGTAAGCTATGCTGGAGATGCATCGATTCCGTCTAATTCACGATCCGATCCGTGGACTTCCTCGTTCTGCTGAATATAACTCCGCTCGGCATCAGTTCCTCCACATGATGCCGAGACGGAAAGCCTTGTGTTCTATCAGAGGCCATGGAAATCGCATGATTGTAATAGGGGAATCATTTGATTTCAGAATTCCACGAGGATGTGGTCATACAACTTCTACCTGGCAGGCGTCATAGGGCTAGTCACCGGTTTCATGTTCCAATTGTTTGCCTCAGCCGAGGTTCAAGAATGGGGCCTCGCGCCGAGAAATAGCCATGATGATAAGCACAATCGGACCGGCAATGATTCGAGCAGAAGTCAGGATCAAAAAATGACCACCAGTGCGGTATGAACCATGAGAAATGTACGTAGGCCCATGGCTCCCATCGAGAAAGTCAGTATGCACCTGAATCCTGTCCGCGGCGGGAAAGGATGTTCCTCCAAACAGGACGCGAAGAGTCGCTCCGATTCCGGCAGGCATCCCGCATGAGTGGTGGGGCAATTCCCGTCAGTACATCTGTCGGAAGTATCCAACGAGAGAATCTGACGATGACTAATTTCTCGCGATTTTGAGCTTCCGCCTCGTGGACACGGGACCAGCACGGGACCAAGTCCCACAGGACCATATATTTGTGAATTATGTGACGCAATGTAAATAACCGATCCTAGGACATGTAATTATGAACTGTCGATTAGAATTCTACATTCCTGTACAGAACACGATAGCAAGATAATTTATTGCTCAAAAATGTTACGTGAGTCATCTACGTTCGCGCGGATTTCTAATAAATTGTTTAATACCTTAGCACTTATAGATCCGGCCTCATCGGTTCGATTAGGCTGTCCGAGTCTCGATGGAGGAACTCTAAATCGGCTCGTCCACCGTTTCTCTCGATAGATTCCAGGGAATAGACTCGCGGATGAGGCATGTCAACGCCTTCTTGCCAGGTTCGACTCGAAGGTACCGTGGAAGGAGGGCTGGGCGGACTAGGATCTTCAGGAAGGCGTGCCTGAAGCTTCGGAGCAATGACTCTATCAGATGGAGTCTATCTCATTCTTTGACTTCACTCTGACCGGCCTGGCGAAGTCGCGAGCTCGATCTCGATCGATTTGTTTTCACTGACCGAGTTCCGGGCATTGATGGGAGCTGGAATTCCCGCGAAGGACCAGAAGATCTATTCCTATTGGAAAACTTTGAGTCGAAAAAACTGAATTGAGATTGAGTTGAAAAAAAGTCGGTTAATCGGAGACCACGTGCTCTCGCCCCTCCGTGAAAGTCACGCAAAATCGGAATCACGCAGGCATCATGAGGCCTGGAATCGGAAAGTGATCGAGAATGTCGCGTCAAGCATACGCGTCGGTCTAGACGGCAGCGAAGGGGAGCCTATCGGGTCAAGCAGGGTGGCGGGTGGCAAGCTCTGAAGGGTTCCCGGCTTGGAAGGGAGCAGGGCAAAATGACGGAGAGCAGAGCAGGTAATTGATTCGGGTTAATTTCTCCCCGTGCATGAAGGGTTCCGGAGGAAAGAAAATGGAGATTATTTTCCGTTCCTAGCGTACGCATGCGGAACACGAGAAGCGATGATGCCTCCGCGACAACGAAGTCTCCGGCATTCATTTTCATTGTGCTCTCCGGAATAGAATGGAATCGCGAATCACCAGCCCTGAGGAAGAGCTTCTCTGAGCGAGAGATAGCCTGTCCCGAATCTGCCCGAATCCGATTGATGCATAAGTTCGGATACAATGCTCTCAAGTCGAGTCGAGGAGAAGCCAGCGAGCAGTACCGATACTGGTGAATCTCGTATTTGTTTTTTTTCCCGAAGAGAGGAATTCTCTCGGTTTAATTCTGGGAGGAGCGCAACCTCCCACTAATTGCAGCAGACGTCAGTTTACCCTGCTTCGGAGTCTTTTGATGAATTTTAGCGTCGTCTTGGGCTTCCCACAGTCATGGATGAAGGAGAGCCTTCCTCCCAAGAGCCGTATGGCGCGGCCGGAAACACCCAGGCGGTTTCGAGTGTCTTACCCTCAACTGATTCGAAATCGGGGGAAGAAACAAAAACCAGAACTTGGAAACTACTGGGTGCCGTTGTAGTTCCATTGGTGATCGTTTTCTGTATAGCTTTCGTCATTATCGGCCGTGGAGACTACGTTCAAGCAGCGACAACGAGTCAGACTCCTGGCTCTTCCGATCTCTCCGCGTACAGCACTACCGCAACCACGGCTGGAGAGACGACAGGAGAGGGTCAGTAGGAGTCCGACTGTATAGCTGGAATATCAACCTCCCATTCTACTGTTAACTCCTTTCAGCTTGGGAGAATTTGGCGGCGATCATCGAAGAAGCTATCTATCGGTGCCGGAGGAACGTCTTGCTGAGATACCCCGATGGGTTTTCCTCTGAGCACGTAGCGCTAGAGGCAGAAACAATTGGTGGAGTGCGAAATATGACCTTAGTAGAGCTGTTCGAACCCGTACGTTACAACACGAGCTTGATCGTCGCAGGAGGTGAGTCGCCGATGCGGTCGCGATGATTAGACGGCGCCGGAAGAAACCGAATCCCAATCGTCAAATCATGAAAACAAAAGAATACACGAATCCCCTTCCCACCACATCCACGCTCGGGCGTAGCATCCCCGTGAATAATTAATTATTGACCTACGACGGGCGATCCGAATTGAGACTGGATTCTATTGCAGTCCCACTCTCAGCCACCACGTGGTTCACATTCCGGCATTTCGAACTCAAGAGCTTCCATGCTTCCCCCATGAGCCCTGGAGCACTGGTGATGTGTTACATGAATTTGGCGCATGCAGTACTCTCCACTACCGTCCCTCGCGAACGCTCGGAGGAGATAAAGCTCGTGGATATGCAGGTGATCTTTGTGCCAAAACCGGTGCCCGAGACTCTTCGATCTCCCTTTCTCAGTGATCTCCGACAATGACGTGGCTCATTCCGTACAATCTGATTCCGAAAAGATATTATTGTTTTCGATTGTGCGAGAGAAAAGAGAGCAGCTTATCTCCGTTTCCAGGTAAGGGAATATGGAAGAGTGAACTGTGACGGATACGAGGAATTTCTGCCTAGAGAGAAGCAAGATGGGGCACTCGAGGAATTGGAGCGAATCGTCCGACTTTACGTCGAAACGTATATCACCACGGAATATGAAGATCGGATGGACGATTGTTTGACTGGAGGGAGGGAGTTCCCTTCCTCTTCTGTACAATGAGAATGTTTTTTTTATTTCCATTGCGAATCCTTCTCTCGCGCACCCGATGGAAATTTTGTCGGTAGAGCCCATCCCGCTCTCGAGAGGCGCCTCGGGCAAACGTAGCCGTGCATCTCACGATTGGATTAGCTGGATAGCATTTCGACATCTGAATTACCCACGCTCACCCTCGCTGAGATTTCCAACCTATGTCGCTTTCCTTTCCGGGTAATCGCCGGTTCTGAGGAGATCTCACATCAGCCGGATGATCGGGCAGGTTCCTGTCGTGAAAAACGAATCATCAATAGTGTCTCGCTCAGATGAATCGAGTCAAAAATGAGCATCGACTCCGCGAAGGACTTCGTCAAGCCGAAAATGATAGGATAGCGGGAAAGCCCTGAGCAGGCGGAGCTCTGGCCAGGGAGCCGGGGGGGCACATCCTTCCGAAATCTCTGGCGGAGGAGATCGTCTGCTCAGCAACTCCACGGCTCCCTCGAGCTACCGGAATTCGATGACATTATCCAATCAACAATCAGGAGAAATGATGAAGCTTTCCGTTGGTGACCCATGCGTTGGCGTGATTTCCGGTCAACTCGGTCCCCTCGGAATGTTCGGCTTCAAAGAAATGCAGCGGCAGCTCATCAGGGTACTTCATCGTCTCGTGTTTAGCCCTTCCCGCGGCTAAGTCGCTCGCGGGATTGAGCTCAAGCCAGCGAGAGCCTTGATGCAATGAGTCTGGGGTCGGTATTCGGACCGGAGACGCCCAGTGCGAACAAGCTTTCCGTCAATACCCTCGGTGCACTGAGGGAGAGGGGAAGTGCTGCAAGCTCCTTGAGTATACCGGCATCTTTTCCATCATCGTATCGTTAATAAGGGCGATCCTGTTTTGGGGGGAAAGTCTCATGAGAATTTCGAGGATTACGTCAAATGGAAACAGATACCTGGAATCAAACAGGGTCACCCGGTCTCGCACCCGCTCCCGTTTCTTCGAGGTTCAGAGGAGGAGGAGAGAAGGAGCTCGACGTCAAGGGGCGGGATCGTGCTTTTGAGCAATCTCTCCTACAATGTTTGATTGTTGGCCCTGAATCTGAGCGGTCATCGTCCAACGATTGGGTATACCCCCCAACTGAATCTCTGTGGTCTGGTTTGACTTCAGCTTGGACCATTCCACAGCCCAAAACTCTTAGTTCGACCTTCCCAAGCCAAGTGCGAAGTTTCTCAGCATCAGATCGAATCTGCAACCTTACACTGACTATTATCCTCCTTACGGCGAAGAGATCGATCCGAGTTGAGGTGAGTTCCTGTCATACGATCAGCGACCCCCGCGCCCCCGCGTGCCAATCATCAGCACGCGTATTCAGACGTGACGGCTCATCGTGTTCTCCATCGCGGCTCATCCTTGGATACGTGCGAGAATAAGTGCCCCTAGAATACTCCTGTCAATATGGCCCAGTCTCCAAGCCCTCCGATACTCCGAGGAGGCTTTTTCCAGACCCCCCCATCGTTCGTTTGAAGACGAGCTTCGGAGCGGTGGCATCGGCAGGGGAACATAGGGGTGGCTACTCGAGGCTCGTCTCCTGCCAACTGACAAACTTTTCCGCTCCCAACGAGCGCGGCACCGCGGGGCGCGATGCAGTTGCTCCGGGTCGAGGTGCACCCAGAAAGGGCTAGGAAATAGCTTGGTTCCGAATACCCGCGACGGCATCGTCTGGACAAACATTCCGCTTTGGAGGTTGGCGATTTTTTCACGACAGCTTCATGCATACAGCCTTCAGACACAAGGTCACGATTCATTGGAATTCACGAAGAATCCGAAAGTACCGCACTTCGGAGATCAGACTTGTCTGAGAGCATTGCTGAGCCATTTTCGAGGCTGCATCGATCATTTCTAGAGTCCCGCTTACTCGGACATACTTTCTTATCCGTCTTTCGGCCCGGTGTCCTCCACGTTTGTCCGGGTCCGGAATGTCCGGGATATGTCCAGGCGAAGTTCGGTCCTGGGGGGCTTGTGATGAGAACCGAATACAACTAGTGTCGACTTCGCGCTTACAAGCTCGGCTGGCACAAGTGATGCGGGAGGAGTGCGCTACGTAGACTGAAAATCGACACCCTTCCACTGAGCGGGTGTCTTTCTTGGATTCCGCGAGTATCTTCGGAGAATCAGCAGATGGAGCGACGACTTGGGTTTGTTCCATTGTCTCGTGCACTCGATTCTCCTTGGGATTCGCATGCCCGGATTTCCGACTCCCGTCCGCTCTCGGGTCTGATTTCCATCCGAAAAATGTCCGGGCAAATGGGAACTCTAGTCAATACTCCACACCTGACGGAGAGCTGTAGCCCCGAATGCATGGGGCGTTCAGCGAATCCGCGACCGCGGAATAGCTTGATAGGCTCGATTCGAGGCAGTGCGAAAATGCACGGATATTACCTCTGGTCGTCTCGAATCAATCGGCCGCATTGCCACTTCAAGCCTCCTGGGTGAGCGACGGATTTCTCCTATCCCAGTTTCATTGTCCCATAATACTCGATCGTCATCTCCGAAGAGGAATCATGATGTCATGATCTATCGACCGCAATCGGTCGATGAATCCTTGCGGGATGAAT